GGAGCAGCATGAGCGCATGACCTCCACCACCCGCTACCGGTCAGGGGCCTCGGCTGGGGCAGGGCTGGGGGACCCTGAGACCACATGTGCCCAGGGCCTCTGGTCTCTGCCTGCCTACCCACAGCTCATGTGCTCCACAGGCGGGCAGAACAGACCTTTGGGGAGCTGGAGGTCTGGGCTGTGGTCCCCGAGAGGGATCGAAAAGAGGTTTATGATGATGTCCTCTTCTTCCTGGCCAAGAAGGAGAAGGTAATAGTCACTGACCTGTTTCCATCAGCCTCAGTCTCATCGTAGAGTCTTCATGTCTTTGCTCCTTATGGACCAGGGTCATTAATTTCTCCCATGCCCCAGGGTCCTAGCTCCTTACTCTGAAGCTGATGTAGCACTTGCACATCCCTTCATTACTGCTCTGGGCCTACAGCCCGGGGCATGGGAGGACAGGAAGGACTCTCTGAGGGGTTGATCTGTAACCTGTGCTCCTTCCCCTTTGTGGGGACATGAAAACCTTGCATCTGGCCCTCCTAGGGTTCCCTAGCTACCTTCTTTTCCCCAAAATCCCCCTCTGCCCAGGACCACTTAAGTACTTCGGCCTGCCCTGCCTCTCCAGGAACAGGCCAAGCAGCTCCGGCGCCGCAATATCCAGGCCCTGAAGAGCATCCTGGATGGGATGAGTAGCGTCAACTTCCAAACCACATGGTCCCAGGCCCAGCAGTACCTCATGGATAACCCCAGCTTTGCTCAGGACCATCAGCTTCAGAGTGAGCCCGGGCCTCCACTCCCACCTGTCCCTTCCCCTTTCGCCATTGACCTGGGTCCCCAGAGCCTATTTCACACATCTCACCTGTACCTCCTGTCCCCCCGGACATCTAGGAGTCCCCAGCACTCAGTCCCTGGACTGGAGATGCCAGAATGCTCAGGTTACCCTCTCCCTCCAGGGTCCACTGTTGACCTAGAGATGTGTGTCCTTGGAGGAAGAACTTGGGATAGAAATCAGAAGACCTGGAGATGAGGACTGTTATAGCTGATGTGAATTGTCTTAAATTGTCATGGCACTGTGGGCATTAACTAGTCACACGTGTTAGGATAAGCTGCTGTTGGCCTGTAATCACTGGCAATATCAGAAATAACACTTTCTGAAGTTGGATCACAGCCTGATTGATTCCCAGTTCCATAAACTGTGAAGCCTTAGTTAGATCCTAAGAGAACTGATTTCATAAACATGATGACTTTGGTAACTAAATTTACAAGAGCTGAATTCTTGCTGATTTTTTTCTTATGCAATTAATGATTCCTCCTCAAGAACAACCGTTCCAGTACTCCCTCCCGAGAGCCCTCTTCACATTGCCCCACCATCCTGGCTGTCCCAGCACCTGCGGGGGCAGCATCCTCAAAGCAGCGGGGCTGTGGGGAGCCGAGAAGGTATCCCACTGGTGTAACACCTGCTGAGCCTCCTTTCTGTGGTTAGACATGGACAAGGAAGATGCGCTGATCTGCTTTGAGGAGCACATCCGAGCTTTGGAGAGGGAGGAGGAGGAGGAGCGGGAGCGGGCCCGGCTTAGGGAGCGGCGCCAGCAACGCAAGAACCGGGAGGCCTTCCAGGTATCTTTGCTGCCCCCTGGAACAGAGCTCACCTCTGCCCCGGGCCATATCAGGCCCACTGTTTTGTCTGTGCCCAGCTCTGTTCTATCTCCACAAGACCGCTTTCTGCCTAGAGGTTTCCTATGCTGTGTCCCCTCAGCTTGGCTTTGCTCCTTTAGGGAGACGAGATGTATGCACCACCTAGAGACTGTCAGCAGAGAGTACCCTAAAGGCAGCTGGCAGCCAGGCTGCTTGTTTGCCTTTGGTGGGAAGCCAGACAGGCATAGCTTATCCTCCAGGCTGGAGGTGGCAAATGTGGTGGGAGGGGCTGCAACAAAGTGAAGTTGAAGCCAAGTCATAGGAAGATGGTGCTGCAGGCCAGTTTTGGGTCTTTGCCTCCCAGCCTGGCTCACGCCCATGTTTTAGTCTGTCCCTCTCTGTATTTACATTCTTCCCTTTCCCACTGTTCTCTGCCCCCCGCCCCCCCATCTGTGTCTCTTCATCTCTGCCTCCCTGGCCTGCCTTTCTTCAATCTGGATTGTCCCTGCCTCTCCTGCCATCTCCTGTCTTCCTCCTTTGGCTCCACCTTCCTCCCTGTCTCACTCTCCCTATAACCGGCCTTTCCCTGCACAGACCTTCCTGGATGAGCTGCATGAGACAGGGCAGCTGCACTCTATGTCCACCTGGATGGAACTGTACCCAGCGGTCAGTACTGATGTCCGCTTTGCCAACATGCTGGGCCAGCCGGGTAAGACAGCTGGGCTCCCCTTCTCTGGCCTGGCTTCCTGCCCTGCCAGCCTCTCTGCACCCCCACTCCCGGGTCCTGACCCCACCCTCCTGATAAAGTCCTGTTTTACAGGAGCATTGCAGCTCAGTTCAGTAGATCTCTACTGTGATCCCTTATGTAGCCTGGGGACACAGAAATGAATAAGATACCATTTCTGCCCATAAGGAGCTCATGGCCTAATAGGAAGATAGATGTGACAATTGTTACACAGAGGGACAGGTGTTATTACAGAGACAAGAATCAGAAGAATTGGCATTTAAAATGCACTTTTAAGAACTAGGTGGAAGAGGGTGGAGGTCCTGGGCATAAGGAACTGCAGGTGCAAAAGCGAGGGGTGGACAGGGTTTGAGGAACAGGAAGCATAGTTAATCAAAGCCCAGACAGGTTCCTTCTGGTCTGCCAGTGTTTTAAAAAAGTTTGGAATTTTTGCTAACATTTTAAGATCAACAGGTTGCGCATCTTCAGCTTCTTTTGGAAATTTGGATTGTTTAGTAGCACTGGACTGGTTTTGCAAGGCATTCAGTGGGCTCCAGCTGAGATGCCACTGTCTCTTAGAAGGGGTATGGCATCCTTAGCGTCACTCCCTGTCATGGCAGCGAGTTCAGTCGACATTTGCCATCGCACATACACTTTACTTTTCTTATACTGGAGAAATAGTTCTGAATATCCATGTCTATCAAAGGTGGAAAAGTGAGTGATGGACTATGAGAGCCTTGTGTTTCTGATGAAGAAACAGAGAAAGCATACTTAGTGGAAGTGAAGGACATTCTAATGCATTTGAGAAGGCAATAGGCATAGTGGTTAGGAGCTTGACTGAAGGCAGACTACCTGAGGTAAAAGTCCAGCTTAACCACTTACTAGTTGTGTGACTGTGGGCGGATTATTTAACCTTTCTGAGCCTCAGCTTCCTCATCTGAAAAATGGGCCTTTTCTACCAAAGCATACCTAATTACGAAGGGCAGTAACTTGGTACTTGAGGTGAGAAAGATCTGAGAATAAAGCTAGAAATGCCCCACTGCACACTCAACATTTCATGTGTTTTGCCTTATAAATTCATGCAGGTATTACATTTTAATACCGTGTTGCTTCTCTAATTAATATAAACTTAATATTTTAAAATTACTGACCTTAAGTAAGACATACCATATTGTCCTGTGGGCTTCCTCTATTTCTTTGGAACCACATGTCCCAGTTTGGAAGTAGAGCCCTCTGTGTAAATTCCTTGACTGCTAAAATTTGGATTTTTATTTTGTAAGTACTGGGGAGCCGAGGAATGATCTGATCAGATGACACCTTGGAAAAGCCCTGGTGAGAGTGTAGCGTAGTACCTCTCAGACTGTGTTGTATCCTTAGGAAGAGAATAGTACCTGAAGCCTCAGGATACTAAAAGTGATAGTGGCAAGTAATTAAAATAAAATCTGGGCTTGAGTCTTCTCCTAACTCCCCCCGAGACCACTGTCTGCTGTCTGAGCCATGTGATAGGAAAGTGTGAGCAGCCTTGGATTCTCAAGGCTGGGTCAGAGGTGTGGGAGGTGAGCAGGAAGAGCAGTCAGGAGGCTACTATAGGGATCTAGGTGGGAATTGAGCTCAGGCAGGGCACTGGAGGTGGCAGGTGAGACAGCGGTAGTGTTCCAGCTCTTTGAGACTCCCTAGGTTTCCTCAGAGGCGCCTTGGGACAAACATGGGGGTAAGGGATGATGGAATGGTATGCTCTTTCCTCTATTTACATGTACAGCAGCTTCTCTTTTATACATTGAGGTTCTGTATAAGATTTTTATTGAAAAAAATGTTTCTGCTGTTAAAAAAATGAAAGTTTAAAATAGTAGAATAGTCACCCAGAAGTAAAATTGACAGATGTGTGTGTGTGGAATTAAGGATAAGGAATAAGTGAGGCGAGAGGGGATGATGGCACCATTGGTAAGGATTAAGCAGGAAGAACAGGGCTGGAGAAAATAAGAATTCCATTTGAGAAATTATTCTTAAAAACAACCTTGGGGCCAGAAGGAATAAACTAAGCAGCATATATTAAATAGAATCTATAATATTAAAAGCATAATATGCTAATTAGGCCAGGTGCCCTTCCGCGTGAAGCTGGGGCTGCAAGGAAAGCCCGGATCCTGGGTGCCACAGGGAAGCCGGTGGCAGCAGCCAGGGGAAGGAAGGCCTACTCTTGCACAAATTTCGTGCATCGGGCCTCTAGTAATCATATAAAGTAGAAATCTAGTCCCAGGAGAGCTAAACTTTATTGGATGCTTAACTTTTAGTACTGCAGAGGCCTGTCACTGAGTCCCGTCTCTCCACACCTCTGGAGAAAGAAGCTGCTTTAGGCACTTCCTCTTCCCCTTTTGGGATTCTGCCAACAGAAGGTTGACAAGCCCAGGAGGCTCTGTGGCCATTCACCAGTCAGAGAGACTGTGGTGGTGCCTCAGCCCAGAGGATAATGCAGAGAGCCCCAAACTTGGAGCAGCTGGGAGATATGGGGGGAGGAGCGGAGAGGTGCTCATGAGAAATGAGTTTTCTTAGGACCTGCTGAATTTGAAGTGCCTATGAAATACCCAATCTAGTATGGGTCTGAAAATGAGAGAGATGGAGAATGAGATTGCGAGGGACAGTGTCAATTGAAAAGACTAAGTGCTGTTCTCAGATACATAAGTGCACGCAAGAGATATAGTAAAAGGGGTCAGAGAGACAGGAGGGGACCTTGGAGGGGAGCACTGAAGAAGTGAACAGCAGAGGTGCTGAGGACCAAATGAGCAAGGTCAGAGAAGGGGCCCTCAACCTTTGGGAGAGCAGTGTCCATGAAGAGGGTGGAGTGGGTGCAGCACAAGCTTTAAGAGTTAGGTAGCTCCTGGCTGTTTATTGGTTGAGACCTCTGCAAGTTATATAATGGCTCTGAACCTCAGTGTCCTTGTCTGTAACATGGGGATAATTTTATGTGCACGGATGTGAGAATTTAATGACATTTGTATTGTCTTGCTTATGGTAGGCTCAATAAGCATTTTCCTTTGTGCTACATTTAAGTATTTTGAAACAAAGGAAAAGAAGCAGGCGTTAAGCCTGAGGAAGGGTGGAAAGACGTTCCAGGTTAAGTGAGGTGTGTGTGATGGAAGGAGTCAGTGAAGAGGTGAGATTGAAGCGTTCAGTTTCCTAAGAGAGAGATTGATACGTTTGAGAAGGACTGGACAGTGTGAGTTGAAGTCCTCTTGGAAGCAAGAAGAGTATGCCTTTGCCATCAGCAGCAAGTTAGAGCTGTGTGGAGAGAGAGGAAGGGAAGTTGGGCCTGTGCCCCAGCTGGAGAGCCAGACTTCAAACCAAGTTGTCTTGGGCCAAGTGAGATAACTTTCCTAAGTCTCTGTGTTGTGAATCTTAGATGAGAATCACAGAGCCTGACTTAAGGCGCTTTGAGAATGTGAGGTGTTTGGGTTGCACATTCGATGGCCCCCGTTTCTCCTGTGGGTCAGGTGATCTATGTGGGTGTAGTGCCTACAAGTATGGGCTTTGGTGTTAGAAAGACCTGGGGTAGAGCTCTCATTCAGCCATATACTTATTAGCTATTTGCCTTTGGGCAAATGCTCTAGTTTCTCTAAACCTTGGTTTCTCCTTCTGCATAAAATTAAAAGACTAGGATTCAATGCATAAATTTAGAAAGGTGAGGATTGAATGAGCAGCGTGTGAAGCACTCAGCATGGTAGCTAGTACTAGTAAGCACTCAGTAAATACAGCCTAGGAGTGGGACCAGCAGGGGTTGACTGAGAATGCAAGGAACTTACTAAGCAGCAGGAGGGCCCAGAGGGGGCCCAAGCTTTAAGCCAAAGGAACAAAGAACCAATTGTGAGTCTACCGCCATGAACATGCCCCATCTCATCTGATACTGGAAGTTAAGCAGGGTCGAGCCTGGGTAGTGCTTGAATGGGAGACCACCTGGGAATACCAGGTCTATAGACTTTCAAAAAAAGAAAGAAAGAGAACTAATTATGAGGAACTCAGGCATTAATCAGTAGGCACGGCACACACACACACACCCTGCTTCCTGTTAACCTTCCCCATGTGATCCAACCCTCTAGCTCCCTGTGACAACCACAGCGAGGCTAGGCATGGGGCTTGGTCATTAGGTGAAGACTTGGGCAGCATGGTTTCTGGAGGCATCCTAGTCCTGTGGATCTCTGGGGTGGGGACTTCTTGAGCATCCTGTGGTTGGACCCCTCTGCCTGCCCTGGAGGTGCCCTTGCTTCATGCGCTGCTGTGCCCACAGGACCGGGGCTTCTGTGTGGAAGTGAACACAGCCTTTGAGGACTTCGCCCACGTCATAAGCTTTGACAAGAGGGCTGCTGCGCTGGACGCAGGCAACATCAAGCTGACCTTCAATAGTGTGAGGGGTTGGGCAGGGTGGGGCTGTAGCCAAGGCTTCTGCTGAAACTCATCCCTGTGTATTATTTCATTCCTTCTCGCTCACTGCCCCAGTATAACTATACCCCAGTTCAGGGGATGATGTTAGGAGCCCAGACCCCAACTTCCCACCTCCTAAGGTATGCCTGAATGGGGCCCAGGCACCCACCCCCCCGGGTGACCCTGTACTGTGTGCTTTTTGCCCTCAGCTACTGGAGAAAGCAGAGGCACGGGAGAGAGAGCGGGAGAAGGAGGAGGCACGAAGGCTGCGGCGCAGGGAAGCTGCCTTCCGAAGCATGCTGAGGCAGGCCGTGCCTGCCCTGGAGCTGGGCACTGCTTGGGAAGAGGTCAGGACTGCAGCCTGCCACCACACGCCACCCCCTCAGTCCTGAGGGCAGCGGTGCTTCTCCACCAGTGGGGGCTCACCCCACTCATAATACATCTGGGGCCAGCTCCGGCTCCCTTCCTTCCTCCGCCCCAGCCCTGCCCTGTGCTCATGGCGGCACCCATGCCGTGCCGGGGCTGGTCTGATCAGCAGTGCTCTCCCGTTCAAGGTCCGTGAGCGCTTTGTGTGCGACTCAGCCTTTGAGCAGATAACCCTGGAGTCGGAGCGGATCCGGCTCTTCCGGGAGTTCCTGCAGGTACTGGAGGTGAGGCAGCTTCTGGTCCCCCGCACCTGTCCCAGTGGCTTGAACACCGAGGACAGCTCCAGGGACCTCCCCGCCTTCTCGGGCTCTTTTCCCTGGACGTTAAGGGGGGGAGGTCTTCGGTAGCCTGGATAGTCCTGAGGCTAACCCTGGCGCCTTCCTTACCCCTGCCTCTTCCAGACTGAATGCCAGCACCTCCACACGAAAGGCCGGAAGCACGGCAGAAAGGGCAGGAAGCACCATCGCAGGCGTTCCCACTCGCCCTCAGTAAGTGGTGGGTAGAAGGACATGGGTGAGGCTGGACTATCTTGGGGAAATAACTTTTCTCACGCCCCTCGATGTTGTCTCCCTGGGAGGGAGATTTGAGGCTTCTTTTGGCCTTGGATCCTCCTCTCTGCCCCAGTTCCCAGACTAAGGGCTTCTGGGATGTCGGCCTGACGTGTATCTGCTGGTTTGCCCAGGGCTCCGAGTCGGAAGAGGAGGAGCTGCCCCCACCATCTCTCCGGCCCCCCAAGCGGAGGCGGCAGAACCCCTCCGAATCTGGCTCTGAGCCCTCTTCCTCACTTGATTCATTTGAAAGTGGGGGTGCTGCCCTTGGAGCACGGGGCTCCCCATCCTCCCGCCTTCCCCTTGGATCAGGTAAGCAGCTGGGAGCTGGAGAAGTTAGCCCAGACTGAGGAGGCCCTGGGAGCCCCAGCAGGGCAGGCGGGTGAAGCGGGTTGGGAGGGCTGCCCCTGTCGGAGAGGAAGAACTTCCCGTCCCTGACTGAAGAGTGAGCAGACAGAGGGACTGTGGCAGAGGAAAGGGCGATCCCTCCCTCTCCCAGGAACTTAGTGGGGGGTTTCTGTCTCCAGATCACGGCCTTCGGAGAGCCAAGAAGCCAAAAAAGAAAGCTAAAAAGAGAAGACACAAGTCGGTGCGTAGAGAAGGAACTTCGGCCCAAGGCCCTGCTCTTGTGTGAGATCTCTTCCACCCGCCTCCAGCTGTCCTTCACAGGAACTGAGGGGGCGGCTCTGAACTCTTACAGAACAGTCCTGAGAGTGTGACAGACCCGGAGGAGAAAGCTGGCAAGGAGAGTGATGAGAAAGAACCAGAACAGGACAAGGACAGGGAGCTCCGGCTGGCAGAGCTCCCTAATCGCTCCCCAGGTTTTGGAATCAAGAAGGAGAAGGTGAGAGGCAGGTGCCTGGTCCCAGCCCAGGCAGCGCTCTGTCCAGGCCTCCGCGGCCTTCAGGGGAGGCAGTGGGTGAGCTGTGCCTTTGCTCCCCCAGACGGGCTGGGACACATCAGAAAGTGAGCTGAGTGAGGGGGAGCTGGAAAGGCGGCGGCGGACACTCCTACAGCAGCTGGATGACCACCAGTGAACTGACCAGCGGCTCTGCCTGGGTCTGTGGCTACTAGGTCACCCTCACCGTCTGCCCCAGACTTCTTCCTTGGTCTGGTCTGTGTCCATTTTTCCTCAAGTAACCCCACTCCCAACACACCATTGCCAGCACCTGCCAAGGTTGCTCATGGTGTTCAACAGTCCCCTACTTCCCGGACAACTAGTGCAGTCCTTGCCCTCAGCCCCACAAGATTGGTGGTGTATGCCACGTGGGGTGGGTGGTGCCAGTAGATAGAATGTGAGAAGGGGCCTCCAGGGAAGAGTGACAGGCTGGTGGACACAGCCTGGGTGGCAGAGGGCTGGGTCCTTACCCTTTAGCATCAGTGCCTGCTCCTGCCTGCACGGGGCCCTGGGGCTCCACCACTCCTTCCTCCAGCCCTGGGACCCTGTGTATGTGTGTTTTGTTTTATAAATAACAATATTTATAACGTGGCCAGTGGCTCTTTTGTCTTCATATACTACTGGGGTGGGCTGGGGACTGGGCAGGTGCACCCATGGCCAGCAGGGGGCGCTGGTGCCTAATGGTAGTGCCTCCCTTTGTGTGCTTAGAGCTCACTAACCTGATTCCCCCTCCAGGTTTCTGTGCTCACCTCCAAGCAGATGGCAGCTCTGCCCAGCCTCCTTCCTATCCGCAGGGCTAAGATCAAACTAAATGGCCACCGTAGCCCTCCACACTCAGAAAGAGGAGCCAGAGTCAGGCCTGTGCTTCAAGCCTTTGTTGAAAGAAGGGCCAGGGTTTATGTACAAGAGAGAAGGGAGATGATACATGTACAAAAAGGAATGGACCCCTGTGTTCCCTCCAGGGGCTAAGAAACTGGCAGGGGACTGAGAATATAGCAGGTAAGACCACCATGTCCCCGGCCCCTTCAAAAAAACAAAAATTAAAAAAAAGAAAACGTAGCCGAAGGAGGTGAAGATATTGTTGGCATACCCTTTCTTTGGCTGTCCTAGGGCTAGGGCAGAGAAAAACCCTTTTGCCCACCTCAGCAAGAACCTGGAATGCAAAGGGGTAGGGCCAAGGGCAGTAGGTGTGGCTTCTTTCCTCGCCCTTATCCCTAGGGCACAGCTGAGCGGGGCCCAGGCTTAGGAAGGCCTTGCTCCTGGTAAAAGATGATCTGAGACTGGCAGGGTCCCAGGGCCCCCCAAGCCTGGACACTCCTCTTGCCCCTCTGGCTCTACTGACAGAGTGGCCTAGGTGTCCCTCTGTAGGCTACCAGCTGACCCCTGGTGACCCTTCAGGAAATGAAGTTGAAGACCTTGGAGGCAAAGTGCAGTACTGGAGGCACCAGGGCCGTGCAGGCCCTGGAAGACCTAGTGCCCACAGTGGCGGCAGGGAAGATGCAGGCTTTGAGAGCGTGGGTGGACACTGGTCGGGAGCAGCATAGCCTTCCGCTGGGCCCTTGGCCGATTCCAGGGCTCCAGGTCCGCGGGTTGGACTTGCAGGACTCTGGGAGTTGAAGTGCTTCTGCCTCTTAGAGGGTCTTAGTGGGGGCCTGGCGCCCGAGGTGGGCCACTGGGTGGGGCCACACTCCGGGCTTGGTGGCGAACGACAATGGGCTGGTGGAGACCTGTGGGGGAGACAGAAGCCTGTAAACAGGCAGGGCCAGGCCAAGCCCACCCTCTGTAGGAACAGCCCCTTCAGGAGCAGCCCACAGACAGGGCCAGAGAAGAGCCAGCCATAGTCAGGTGAGAGAAGCTTAAAGGCACTGGAAGGGATGGTCAGGGAGATGGCTGGGGCTCTGTATTTTCAGAGAACCGGATGGAGGGTGACTAGAGGCCATGGGGCAGAGAAAGGACAAAGGACCCCCAAGCCCAGTAACAGAGCCGTGGGCTCAGCCACCAGAGGCAGTGGCCTGGTCCCTACCCCTTGGTCTTAGTAGAAGCTAGGACAGCATTAGTGGGAGAGATACCATTTCCCTGAGGGCACATGCAGGGCATAAGCCATGCTTCTCAGAGCATGGGGCATGAAGGGAGGGAAGTATGTGTCCCCATCACCATGAGGCAGCCAGAGGATGGTGCCAGGTCATGCATAGGAGGAGGTGCCTGTGGACCCCAGCACAAGTCTTGGGAGATGGGCATGCAGAGGGCAGCTGTGGTGCCCAGTACCTGTCAAGGGCCCCAGCCTTGGGGGTTAACAGTTTGACTCATCATGGTGGGCTGCATCACAGAAGAAGCGTGAGCCCCGCTTGGCAGTACGGGCCGTGAAAGGGACACTCTTCAGCACTGTGGCCCAGGAGAGAGACACCGTGGTCAGGCCCCGTGGCACACGTGCGGTGGGAGGAGAGCCCAGGGAATATGACTGGGTTTTGGGAGCAGTGCTCGGGCCCCAGGGAGGAAAGGGCCCCACCTGTGATGATGTCCTCAATGGTACCATCTTTCCCCTCGTACACAGGCCTGTGCTCCTTGGCCTGGCGCCGCCTCAACTCAGCAATTAGCTCCTGCTGTTGCCACTTGTTCCGCTGGGATGGGGTCTAGAGCCGGGCATTTGAAGGGAAGGGAGTCATTACTAACATACCACAGGGACGGTTCCTGCCCAAGACACAGTCCGGAGATGTCCTGGATTGTGTATGGCAGCCTTGCCTGGGAATCCCCTCCCAAAGCCCCTCTCCATCCCTTGGGATGCCGGCTTCAGGCCCTCTGGGTGGTCTGTGGGCTCCAGCTCTCCCCCCGCTCCTGACTCTCTGCCCGGTTCCGCCCACCTTGGCATCCAGCTTCTTGGCTTCCTGAGCCAGCTGCTTCTCCCGCATCACCTCCTCCTGCTTCTTGCGGGCCTCATTCTCTTGTTCTGCTTCCTAAGAACCGTCGTGGGGGTGGGAGCAGCTGTGAGGCTCACACAGGCTAAGGGGAGGGGCTCACTCTGAGGGTGGAGAGTGGGTGGCAGTGGGACCAGCAACCCCAGGTGGCCACCCTCTGGAGGGGCACTTCCTGCCCCAAACAATGACAGGAAGGGCCTGGGCCCCCACCCTGCCCACTAGTTCACAGCTAAGGCCTGTGGCCAGCTTCCATCGCTCCCTCCCAGGACCCAGAGGAAGAGACGGAATAGGCCAGACTTGAAGCCCAACCCTCTCTCCCCCGATCAGTTTTCTCTCAGCCTTTTTTCTTAGAAACCTTTCCCCTGCTCACCTTGTAAGAACGAATGAATCGGACAAATACTGGGAAGAATACAGAAGGAGGTGTGGTCTTGGGACTCTCACCGAAGTAGCGCACCACTGCATTGTAGGCCTCCTGGGGAAGGGTGGGCAGGTGGGGTCAGCCTGGCGAGGGAAGCCGGCTCCCACCAGGGACAGTGGGCCCACAGAAAGCAGCACCAGCCCCTACAGGCCAGAGGAGAACCGGGCTCCCAAAGCTCCCTAGCGCACCTCACCAGAGGCCGCTGCCTGCCATCCCCACTGTCCCTGACCCCACGGTCAGCCAGCCCGCCAGCGCTTGGTAAAGCTTCTTTGATCCAAGAAGGAAAAACTCAGCCCACCTAGAGGCACAGTGCCTTAAACCGGGTTGCTGCATCAGCCTCCACCCTGTGCTCACCTCCGCTGTCTTGGCGTCGCGCTGGAGCTTGTCCAATTTGCCGTCATTGGTGCTGAGGAAGCTCCGAAGGACACTGTTGTCATGCATGCTGCACTCGCGCCGAATCAGCTCCATGCCCCGGCCCAGCTCCTTCACATCTAGCAGCACGTTCTCCAGGGACACTGTGGTTACAGAGCCCAGGCTGAGTCCAGGGCTGGACATGCCCACCTCCCCTCAGCATGGGCTCCCTCAGGTTCTCACGCCCCTGTGGCTTGAGCCACCCGGGGGGAGTGGGGGGGGGCACACACAGGGAGAGGCACACCAAGCTAGCCGGGCTCTCACAGGGCAAGAAAAATGAATAGAGGCTGGGAACACATAACCCCAAAGAGCAAAGTAAAGGAAGGCAAGCCAAAAAGACTGCCGATCTTCAAAATGGCCTGCACCATTTCGTGAGTGGAGCAGCAATAACAGCTACCGATGTCTGAGGGGCTTCATGGTTTTTCTAAGCTCCTCCCACACGTCACAGAGAAACAGTCTGCATTCTCTGGGGCCAGCCCGAGGAGCTGGGAGTGAAAAGCCACTGTGCCTTCCTCTGCCAGCTCCCAGCCACCCAGGTGAATAGGGCCGGACGGGTCTGGTGCCTGCAAGAAGGCTCCCGCTGGGGTGGCCCCTGCCCATGGCCCCAGCGGAAAGCTTTGAAGTGTCAGAAAGACAAGAGCCAGAAACAAAAGGACCCAAGTGTTCCCTCCTCATAGCTTCCTGGGATTGTCCTGAGCTGAACACAAGGGCAGGCTCCCCTCACCTGCTGCAGCCTTCTCCACAAAGTGCAGCTCGTGCCAGAAGTTGGCCAGGTCTGGGTATTTCTCCTTCACCGTCAAGGCGATGAAATGCAGCAATGTCATCTTCCTGTCAGTGGACTTGGTGTCCAGCAGCTGGGAGATGGGGGCGAGGGGTAATGCAAGAGGACTGAATATCCTGGCTCCACAGCCGCCTTCCCTCAGGCTTCCCGGCCCCATGTTGCCCCCACCGTCTTACCAGATCCAGGCTTTGGAGCTTGAAGCCATACACAGCACCCCGCTTGCTGCTGTTCATGTAGTTCCCCAGTGCAAGTATGATCTGTCCAAAGACGAGTGGGAGGTGGTCAGACCAAGGCCTGAGGGCTCCTTTCTTGTCTATATAGCCCCAGGTCCTCACCAGCGCCCCCATATACAACCTCTCCCCACCTCCAACATCTGCTTCAGCTTCTGTGAGGACTTGACAGAGGCAGAGGCTGCAATGATGGCATTGAGTTGCTGGAAGGCAAGATGAAGAGCTGAGTAATCCCAGGCCGGCATGGGGCAAAGTCAGCAAGGGGCTGGGAGGGTGGGCAGGGCCAGGGAAGTGACCAGCAGGTGGCTGGTGGAGATGGGGCTGCAGGTGAGTGTGATCTGGGTGGGGCCCTACCGGAGTGAGCATCTGCAGGTTGTCCTGGAAGTTGCCCAGGAAGGCCATGCCTGCCATTCGCTGGGTCAGCCGCTCCACCTTGCTGAAGAGCAGCATGAAGCGGTCCTCAGCCGCCAGCTCCTCCAAGGGCTGCCGCTCCCGTTCGTATTGCCGCAGCAGCTTCACTTCGGCCTCTGTGGGCAGGAAGCGCATCAGGCACTCCACGAAGTCCACAGGTAGTGTCTGTAGGTCGTACCTATGTAGGAGGGAGGGACCCCCTCAGGTCTCGCATTTGCCCATATTATGCATCATCCCTTTATTCTCCAGCTCCTAGAAGGACTGAGGGTGAGGTTTGTGAGCAGGACACAGCCAGAAGCAGAGGACCATCCTAGGAAACATTGATGTCCTGCTTAGAAATCTTTCAACATCCTCCCTTTGCTCGTCTCAATACCTGAGCATGGCTTAGGAGACCCAACCTGCAAGACTTCTGCCCACCTTTCTATCCTGCCTTTCCTACTCCCCTCCTTACACCAAGGCCACAGTCAATTTTCAGTACCCAGAGCACCAAGCTTCTCCTGCCAGGACCTGTACTAGATTTCATATACTTCCTTCAGATTGAGGGTAAGACACCACCACCTCTGGGAAGTCTTCCCTGATTACCCAGCTCAGCTACCTGGCTCTCCGTTCTCCCAACGCTGCCTGTACCTCCATCACTTTGGTGGTTATTACCCAGTATTACTGGACTGTTCCCACTAGACTGAGAGTTCCTTGAGTATAGGTCTGGACTGAATTCCCAGCATCTCATACCATGCCTGGCACACAGCATGGATACAGTAAGTTCTGGCCAAGCCAGTGGATGATTAAGGGGTGTGAGGCGCCGAGACTGGCTTGGCTCAGTGGATAGAGCGTCAGCCTGCGGACTGAAAGGTCCCGGGTTCGATTCCGGT